TTCCCCATGTCCAAAAGCTGGGGTTCTTGTCGTTCTCCGAACGCGCCGGACCGCCCATGCCATGATGATGACCGCGGTATGGTGAAAGTTGCGATGTGAGTATGATGGTGATGGTGAATGCTGGATGAGCGTGATGATGATGGCGATGACGATGAGCAGATGAGGAGGATGCCTCGAGCGGGTTGCTGGTTTTCGCATTCCTTCTGGGGGGGCCGCCGACGGTATTCCGTGGCCTCCGTTCGCGCCCAAATGGCGGGGATGTCTTAAGCGGTTTGCCTGTTTTGGTGCCCGACATCTTCCGCTTTCGGAACAGATTTGGAGGATGTCTCGTACGAGGCGCCTCATGATGGGGCGGCCGCCAGGGGTACTGCACGGCTTCCGCTCGCGCCAAAAAGGCAGGAATGTCTCGAGCGGTTTGCCTGTTCTGGTGCCCGACATCCTCCGCTTTCGGAGCAGATTTGGAGGATGGTTCGAACGAGGCGTTCACTTTCACCCCCCAGGTGGGCCAGATTTTGAACATGTCTCGATCGGTTTGCTTGTGTCGGTGGCCAGACTCGTGGGCACAGATTCTCTTCAGGATGCCACAGGGGGCTCCAACAGGCCCCAGGAGGCCACATGAGGTCCCAGGAGGCAGCAGGAGGCGACAGAAATATTCAAGAGGCCACAAGATGTTTTAAGCGGCGCCAGGGGGCTTCGGGAAACCCCAGGACGCAACAGGAGGGCACATAAAGCGCCACAAGGCATCGGAAGGCAACGGGAGACCCCGAGAAGCCCCCCAGGAACAGGAAACCTCATAAGGCAACGGGACCGGCTCCAATCCCATGTGCCTTACGTATGTTCCTATATATTGGGCCTCGCCTGGAGCACGAATCCTTGATGTTCCACGTATGTTGCTATATATTGTCCCTCTCTTGTGTACACAATCCGAGCTGTGTTTACTTATGTTCGTAAAGATTGGGTTTTCCCGGGGCATGAATCCTTTCTGTGTTTTACGCATGCTCCTATAGATTGCCCTTTTCCTGTGGCTCCACTCCGCGATGTTTTATGTACGTCTGTTGCTATAGATTGGGCCTCCCTTGGGGCACGAATCTTCCCGAGGAGGTCCCAGGACGCCCAAGAGGTTCCTGGAAGCCCGAAGCCCCAGTAGGTTTCAGGAGGCCCCAGGAGGCCCCAGGCTCATGCGCAGAGACGCGCTCGTACCACTGAGGCTCATTCACACCCCAATTTATTCGCAGTTCGATTCATGACCAGACCGTCGCAATTCAAATCCGTTTGTATTAGAAAACTCTTGCGCCTAGACACTCACGGCGGACAGGTCCATGCGAATAAATGCACATATGGGGAGCTCCACGAAGTGAATATGTTTTTCTTCCTTTTTCTGGTCCCGCAGCCTCCGGCCGTCGTGGGAGTTCCTCCCCGCGTCGGCCTGGGGTCGGGTCAAGTTTCTCATTTGTGTATTTGTTTTGTTCCCCCTCGTTTTTGTTTCCTTTTTTTCTTCGCTTCTGCTTCAGAAACCTCTGCAGGGGGTCACAGCCCCGCAAGAAACCTTTGCGGGGGGGTCACAGCCTTGCAAACTGGCAGTTCCGACAAAGGAGCACAATATGCTCGCGGTGGCCAGAGCCCAGCTCTGATCGATAAGAGCAGCCCATGTTGGGCGGAGCCGGCGCCCGTGATCGACAAGAGCAGCCAATTTTGGGCGGGGGGCAACGCATTTGTCTCTCTCCTTTCTTTCTGTGTTTTCTTCTCTCTCTTTCCTCGTCTCGTATCGGGGGGGGGCCGCTCTGTCGGTGCTCCAGGACCTGTGGGCAGCTGAGCCCTACGGACTTGTGTCGAGCTCGCATTGATCCGCCTCCCCACAGGTACACATCGTATCGTCTCGTGTCGGGGGGGCCTCTCTGTTGGTGCCCCAGGACTTGTGGGCAGTTGAGCCCTACGGACTTGTATCGAGCTCATATTGATCCGCCTCCCCGCAGGTCCACCTTTTGTACAGTGCATGACACATGCCCTCACCAACTTGAGCGTTCTCGGAGCGTCTGCCCACTATCGGCGGGCGCATATTGAGCAACCATTTTGGCCTCATGGGCGGCGTTTGTGTCGCTCGCGCGCTGCGCCAGCCTAGTGCCAGCTGCGTGCTCGGCCGCGTAGTGCGCGGGGAGAGGTTGGCTTCGCAGTTTCGGTACGCATCGACATGTTCTTCGTAATGTTTCATTCGATTTTTCTCTACTCCTGTTCTTCCTTCTCACAGGTGTCAGTCGACAGACCCACTCTCAGTCTTGCTTCCTTTCCCTGTCGTTTGCTGTCGGGCGCATGGCATGTTCTTCTCCTACGAGTGGTCGCGGCCCACTATCCATCCCGCCCTTGCATGTCGTGCCCTGCGCAACGCTACTCTCCGACCGCCTTTTTCAGGAACGTTGTCGCTGCGAGTTCTGCCCTGCCAGGTCTGCGCCATCTCCTGTTCGACTTCCCCCACCCGATGATGCGCATGATCGCGTCAGGGGGG